AAAAAACGTTCACATGGAACACATGGAGGACTTCTTGACTGTGTCTCTGTAACGAGACAGTGGGCAAGGAACTACCCGGCTAAGCCTGAATACGCCACTGCTGAAATCGCAGTGTGGTGGGACATGACTGACTGTCCTATTCCAGATAAGTGTGATGCTACTCGGATCCGTCCGAGTATAGAAGGGGCATTCAAGAAGCTTGGCTACTCTGGTCCCGTCTCCATCACTGCCTATGGCGACCACACACAAACCCCTGATCACATCCTGCGAGGGCTCTCTTCCACTGGAGTCGATGTTTCACATAGACTTTCCGGTCAGTCCAGTTGTTTATTGATCTCTGTAATTTTAATCTTCCACTCTAGTGTTAATGCTTTCCTTTTGACTGAAACAGTAAAAAACTGCATCTGCATTTCACGGGATTTGGAAGCATGGCAAGAGCTGAATCCTCCTCCGGCTACAATGATGGTCATATCCAATCAGCTGGATTATTTCTCAGATACTCTTAGCACGGGACAACTCGAGAAGAAGTACAACCTTTGTCTGGCTTATTTATTTAGGCCTTACCAAATGCCACCCCTGCTCACTTGTGCAGAGTGGCTCTGGGAAAGCTTAGTGGCAGGTGTTTGTCCTTCCTCTCTTCATCCAATAATGCTGAACTAGTTACGCTGTGTCTGACCTATAGTTACTTTCCACAGATTCAGACAGCAGTGGAGGTGGTGGTCAATCTTGGGGAATGTTTTATTGCAAATCGTGCAATTTCAGTGACCTACGCATGGCGGGTTTCAAGTTGCATCTCGCCTGTGAAAATCATGCAGAGAGTGTAAGCATCCTTTCTGCTTGTATCAATACATTGTTTCACTGTCTAGACATCAAAGCAACAACCTGGTTAACTTTTTTTCCAGGAGGATAGTATCCTCTCGCTTAATCGGCGTCGCCTCTACCTGCTAGAGCAAAGTAGGGAGGAAATTGTCCTCGAGCGTATTCGATCATCCGAGTACAAGCGAGAGCTACGTCTAGAGGCAAGTTTTTCTTAATCATAATTATAATAGATTATCAACAGAGCAAAATGTGAAATAGAAAGCATGAAACTGGTTTACCGACTTTTGGTTAAAGGTATACTCATTCCCAAAATTGTTTCATATACATTTTGTAGGCTGAAAACTTTCCAAAGAGCAAACGTTGCCGCCGACCTGGAGCTCGAAAATCTCGAACCTGCAAGAAAGAGTCACTGAAGTGATGATGAGCTCTTATT